AGAGGGATATTTTTAGTAACTGCGTTTCATTTTCTTCTATGTCGTCAGATGCTAAAGAGTCTCCAGTCTGGGCATCCTCGACTTCAATGGCTCATGGCTCAACTCCCTTGCCATAGACAAACGAAGGGGGAGTCCAGGGGGGCCTGGCCCTCGTAGAACTGAAAATAGTATCATATGCCCCCCCCCTAAAAAATAAAAATTTTCGAGATGTGTTGAATGCAACAATTAGCAAGTATTTTGTGCTTAAAATTAGAAAAAAAACATAATTATTCCGCAGAAATTGATGGAAAAATTCTTTAGGGAAGCTTCAAAATGTGTCCGATTAGTCGTTTAAATTCTAAAATTTCTCGGGGGATGCCCCTCGGACCCCCCCCCCCCCGTGCTTGGGGCCCGGACCTTAAAACTGGTACCAGGGCCCGAGATGGGATGTGGTGGGCCTGCTTGTGACAAGATGTACGATAGTAAACAATTTAAACCCATGCCGTGTTTTTCTTTGGTGTCGTTTACGTGAGAAGAAAACCTCACTGGAAAAAAAAACACATTGTATCTAGAGTCCAGACTCTTGAAAACATTGACAAGAAAAATACTCTTGATTCAATCGGATTTTTGCTTGAATCAAAACGAAATCCGCTTAAATTAAGAGGCTTGGTTCTTGATTTAAGCTAGATTCTGATTGAATCAAGAGTGCTTTTTCTTGTCGATGTTTTTAAAAGTCTGGACTCTAGATCCAATGTGTTTTTTTTCCCAGTGCTTGTTACCCGTTGTTCAAATTGTTCATTATTGTGTTCGTGCTGATGAGGTGTATTCAAAGCAAAAGCGAAGAACTTTATAGGTTTTGTAATCTTCGCAGTACTGCCCACTGGTACCGCGCCGCGAGAGAAGCGCTGAGTGCCTGGAAAGTCAAAACGCCTTCATTTCCGTGCGTATGCAACACGGACATCGATGGAGCCCGAATAGTTGCATCCACGCCTTAAAATGCAATTCGTTCAGTGTTTCTGGAATGCGCCACGAACTGCGAGCGCTTTCATGTCTCTTTAACTTCTTACTTTAATGCCCGTGTTGCCTATTGTATCGATGAAGTTAACTCTCGCTGACTAACAATTTTTAACGCGACTCGTTTAATTTTTGGAGAGATTCATTAATGAATCGTTTTTTATCACAATGTGGCCGGCCCTAGAAATTTCAAAAGAAATTAGGTATCTAAGCAGGATTTTTAGAGTTTCCTTTGACCAAGGCCAAGAGGCATGTTTTCTTTGGATTTTATCTCTTCTTTTTTCTTTTTTCATGAAAAATATTTTTGACAGTTATATGCGAAATTTTCAAAGAACAATCGTCATAAATCGGACAGAATTACGAAAAAAACGATGATCATTATTCTTCCTTCGACAAAATGAAATTCAATGGTGAATCTGAGATCACAAGCCTAAGCATACTCTTACAGGATGCCCCAAAAGTCCAACCGTCCCCCCCTCCTGGTCTTTTTAGAAATTTTCCTAACTTAGCTTTTGAAACAAAACATATGAAATGTGTCTGGGTCAAAGAGGACTACTTTTTGGCGTATTAAAATTTGTAGGGGGACGCTTTCCTTAAAGAGTAATGAAATTTCGTTTAAAAAGTTTTAATTAGGAAAAAAGTGTACAAGGAGGGTAGGCAGTACGGACTTTTTAGTTGCTCTGCATACGTTTCACCAGTGAAACTTTAGTGCAATGTGGTAAATATTTTTGAGAAAATTTTATAATGTTCGGCTCTTCACTCCGAAATGTGGACTGCATCCTGCGATCCCTGTGTTTACTATGACTAAATAATGAAAAATTCGGCAGATTCGTTTCATGCACACTGCAGGTAAACATTTTCGAGCTTGCACACCAATATATTTGATTTTGCAGAAGAGTTAAAAAAAAAGGATGTAGTCAGATTGAAGCTCGAGAAATTATAGTTGAGTGTCAATGAAACGACTCCGCCGCATTTCATTATGAAGTTAGTAAATTAGAAACGTGAATACCCTTAAGGGAAAAGCCTCCTCCTACAAGTTAAGTTACGCATATCGCTGAATGACACAAAAATTAGTAGCCACCAACATTCGTTTGTGAATTACTACCCATGGCAGCGAATGAATTTGCTCGCTTTAGAAATGAAGGCGCTTCAAGGATGCTCAGAAATCTTATTGTGAGCAACTCGTAGATTATCATTCAAGAAAATAGACAGTTTTCTACCATAATTCGATTTTATATTTTAGAAAATAAAAATTTTCAGCCAAATAAAAAATAATGGAACCAGTACACGTGTGAGAAGCTAATAGAGCAGCAAGAAATGCATGTTTGTTTTTCTTGCCCGCGCTCGCTTGAGTCTCCGACATATTTTGCGTTTGAAGAAAGAACCGAGCGCGTTAAAAATTAGCTTTGAACTGGGTTGGCTGAGAGATCATTCGCAAATGCGGTCGTATCGTGAAATTTAAATGAGCAGAATTCCCATGAAAGAGTTTTTTAACCATTATTTTACTTTAATTTTACTTCCAATAAATTAATGTTGATTCAAAAAGTACCCAGGAAGGATTTAAAAAAAAAAAAAAAAAAAACAATCATTCATCTTCGAAATACAAAAAAATAACAAATCATGAAAATTCACTGGTGAAACGAAAATTTTAACAGTTTCTTTAAAGAGTTGTTTTTATTTCTTTATTTAAAAAAAAAATAAAAATAGTTCTTTGAGAAGTTAATACAACAGTCCTCCTGCTAGTAAGGAATAGATAAATAATTTTAGAACTGCGACGCAGAAATTAATTGTTACTTTACGCTCAGTCCTTATGTGGGGCAATCCTCAGTTCCGTACATGTAATGTGAACTTTCGGCAGAGAAAACTAGAGGAGGGGAAGAAAGTTGTTCAACTGTTCTGCCGTGCAACGCAAAAACGCCGTGAACGCTATTATAAATTTTTTGGAAACAATGTATCATATCAGAAAAACTTGTGTACCTTGGAACAATGTTTTTACTGAATTCTTTCGCAAATACTATCAAGAGCACAACCTGAAAATATGAGGTGCATGGATGAAAGTCTTTATTTTATAAAGAGTTAAGTTCCAAAAATCGCGGTAAAATCTTGATGGATTTACGACTTTCTTGTTTAGCACGGCAGTGTTCACCTTATCGTTTGAATCACACTGAAATTCGCTGATAGAATGTATTGAAATTCAATACCAAGCACAAAACAGAACTAATGGTATATTCGAGATTACTTATTTTGCAATTTTGATGGAGAATATCTAAAGAATGTCAAAAACAATGTATCAAAATATTTAGAATTATTCTAAAAAAAATACACGTTTTACGGGGGGAAGTCGCCGACATTCAATGTTCACGTGATGCTTTTCAAGGCGCGCGACGGACAAGAACAAAAGAATCTTTGGCATTCTTAGTTTACGCCCAACGACCAGTGGCGATTCCAGCAAGTTGGCAATACTATTAATGCTCTATTTAAATCCATAGAATATATCGATTCTAGGCAAGATGGGAAGTCTCGCGTAGAATCGATTGTTGAACATAGTTTTAAATGGAGAAAACAGTACTGCCAACTTCCAATAATATGATCACACGGATAAGTCAGTTGTGGTAAATCTTCACTGAAAAACTTAGTCCAATTTTAAATCGTGGTCAATTTCTTTTGTGTATCTTTTCATGCCTATTCTTGTTTCCAACAGTTTTGAAGGACTTCCCGCAAATAGAGCAGCTAGTTTGTCTTTCGTCGTGAGTTGGTGAGTGAAATAATAACTGCACCCGCTTTTTAAAAACTGCCTTGCAAACAGGGCATACGTTATCTATCAGAAAGAAGAAATGAAACCATCCAAAAACAAAAACTAAAGCTATTTGAGAAGAGCTCCTTTCCGAGTGAATCTACTTTGTCGACAAGTACGGGTGATAGGTCAAAAGGTCCAGAAGCAAATGTTTCGGGTGAAAAAATGTCCAATATAAGAGAAGTCCATGGGTAAAAAATTTCCGAGTACCTGGAATGTCCAGAAGCGGTACCATCGCCAAAATTAAAAATGCCCAAATGTCCTATTGTGAGTCATAATTCATATTACCATTACCTGTTGGTAGAAATTTGTCATACTTCCTCAGTGGGCATTTTTATTTTCGGCCATAATACCGCTGTTGGACATTCTAGATATTTGGACTTGTTTTAGAAATGGACTTTTTTGACTTTGGCCATTTCGTCCTATTACCAAAAACACACATTAAAAATCGAGAACCTAATAAAACACACTGAAAACCATTTAAAAAAATACTTGAACATTAATGAAAAACACATTGCGACAGTAAAAGGGAGGGTGGTAGAACAAAAAAACAAAACATGAATAATTATATGAAAGTTTGGGCTTGGACTCCTAAATGTTTATCGCGCCAAGCTCGGGTTCCTAGTCCTGGATTCCATAGTCCGGGTAGCTTCCTCGGTTTAAAAACAACGTATGTGCCATTAGAATCCTTATGCACATAAGTGTTTTTCCAGAAAAGGCAGAATTTATAGTTCCAAATTGCAAAATACAGTCCAATTGGCTGTCAGCTTCCACCATGATGACTATGGTGGTCTGCTAAATGGCCAGCATTAAATAGACAGCAGCTACTTGTTTCTGTTTTGGATTGCACCATAAAAACACTAACACGCCGCATATCTTCCGTACGTGTCATGTCCAGGTTGAGGGTTGAGGCTGTCTCCTTGATTGGAATCGAATTGTCCGCGGTCAATTTTTTCCACACCGTTGCTGGCCGGTAAAGGCAAGCACCTCGACGTGGCTGCCGCAATTCGTAGAGAACCACCCAATTAATTGTGGCCTCCCGGAATACTCCCGAAGAAGCTGCGTATGTCACTTTAATTTCTAAAAATTTCTTCATCTGAAGATACAAAAGAAGTAGTGCTACTGCAAACAAAATGCATGAAAAAAAGAAAACCCGAAGGCGAAGTGTTCCTTTTTGAACACCGGGCTGTTTATTCTTGTTGTTATGGTTTCATAAAATTTTTCAAAGGACAATTAGTGAAATTTTAAGTCAGGAATGTCCAAGAGTTGCCTGTTGAAGATGCAATTGGCGAGGGGAAATTTGGCAAAATTGAAATTTAGTTACGCTCTTTCGTGAGCGGACGATGAATTGAAGTTAATTTGCTTCATAGCTTACAAGGATCCCGATGCAACGGAATGCCTCCCGACAATTATTACATTCACGTTTCGCCATATCTATTATTCACCAGCACCACAAAGGAGAAGCTCATACTTTCAGACTATCCTTTTTTGAATTGAAAGTTCCAAAGAGCTGAAAAACAAACGAAATAAAAGATTAGCGAGTCAATCATATTCCTATACAAATAGACTGACGGGGAAAAAAAACACAAAGAAATGGTCCGAACTCTATATGCAACAAGGTGGTGAAATTACAGCTTAAAAATGTTTGACTCTAATTGAAATTTTTGGATTGGCGTTGTTTTCCTCGCATAATGGTTAGGACCCAGCACAATTTCACCACCTTGCAACAAATAGACTGATTTGGTGGCTGCGCCATTCGAAATCATATCGAACCCTTGGTTCAAATGTAAACAAACACGGACATAGGCGGTTCTACGGGGGTGCCAGTGGGTGCCAGGCACCCCCAAATCAAACTTTATGTACGTTTATCGGAACCGTGAAATTACTGCTTTTAAAGATTCTCTATTCGCTCACTCAGAGAAAAAATCCCAGCAATTAATTAAAAATGTTTTAAATAGAATTCAAATTGATAGCCGTGTTTTACAAAGATTCTACTGTTTTTTTTATGGTAAGATTGTAGTTTTGATGGAAAGTTTTTCTAAAAATTTTCTAAATTGAATTTACAGGTATTTAAGTGGAGAGGAAGGAGAGAAAAAGAGGAAGGAGGGTAGGGAAGGGATAAAACTTGAGGGCCGAAACTTAGGCCTCCCCTGAGCGACCGTCCCCTTGGGAGCCGGTCTCCGACATTTTCCACCTCTGGGCACCCCCAAGAATGAAGGTCTAGAACCGCCTTATGACGGAACCGTGTTTCTGATTCGCAACCTTTGCGCCACGGTGCGGTGGTAAGATGCGTTCGCGTCCGAGTGTTTCTTCCATTTCTTCCGATCGAAATTTCTCGTGTTTAACTGATTTGTGATCGGTCAATGCCTAAATTTCAATAAATTAACACAATTAACGCATAAAGAATTCGTACATGAGGTTATGTTAGTTTGCTGTGGTTTGAACCAAGAGTTCGATATTATATCGAATGACGTAGCATAACTAAGTCAGTCTATGGAATCAAGAAAAAAGCTGTGAAATACAAAATCAGGTGTCGATAAGTTGGGTCATTGACTCATGTAAAAAAACTATTAATTTAAATATGCTGCGATTAAGAGATGTGGGAAGAATCATAAGGGAAAATTCTCTCCGCATATTGTCTGATTTGGAGTGAAGTGTGAGGCCATGAGCGTACGAAATCGTCGTGATGAGGTACGCGTAAAATCAACTTGGACTAATATCCACCGGTGAAGAGCGAAACACACTCCATACGAGCCAGCCGGCCAACACAAAATCACAACAATTAGGCGGCTGAAATAGTCATTTGTGCTTCCATCAAGAAATTTTCCTCGGGTCAAAATAATGTGATAACCCTGATTGAAAGTTTTTTCTTCCAAAAATGCCTGTAGTCGAAAATACGTTTCTCCAGATTTTCGTGAAAATAATCGTTTTTCCAGAATTTTGGTGACCGTTACAGACCAATTACAACTCATAGAAACAAGCACATTTCCCACAATCTTGGTTCATTGCTGAATTTACCTATGTTCTATGACCTTACAAATTTCGAATTCTCAATTTTATGGGGGCTCTCAGAAAATCTTAGATGTTTTAGAATTAAGAACTTCACCTTGGTCCCCATGGAAGCCCCCGATGACTTGAGATTTTGATATCTCCGAGAGCATGTTCGGTTCACTGCTAAAAATGATGTAAAAGTCATGTTTCGGTCCTTGATTGTAGCCAAAATTCAGAATAAACGATACAATCAACCTCCCACCCCAATAAAAAACACACTGGGCTAGAGCCCCGGCTAGAGCCCTGACTGGGAGCACTTTCAAATAAACATTTCATGGAGGGGAAAAATGATTATTTTGACCGGCGTGACACGCTGCTATAGTCTAACTATTTAATCCTGAATGCCGATATACATTTATATTTGCATTGTGCGGAGTTTTAAAAATATCACACATTTAGATGAATGAGGCTTATTTAGTTCACAGCTTACGAGGGTCCAAAAGTATGAATTGTCAGAAATTAACTCTCGACAACAATTGAAATTTCATTTATGTTTCATTTCCTCTATCATTCAGCATCACAAAAGAGGAGCATACACTGAAAAAAAATTCTCGGCGTTTTTACCAAGGTCCGTTGGTACCTTTACCATCTCACTTTTTTTTACCAATTATTGGTAATTTTACCAAGATAGACTGATAAGCTTACCTAAAACCCGGTATTTTTACTGTTTTTTTCAGGTAAGAATACCACTTTTATTGGTAATCAATTCCCGGTAACTTTGCCATTTTATCTCGGTAGCTCTACCACAGCCGATAAAAAATATTTGGCCTTTTTACCAAGGTCCAGTAAAATTACCGAGAAAGTCAATAATTTTACCGAGATTTCTCGGTAAAATTACCAATTCCATAAATGGTAATTTTACCAAGAAAAAACTGGGATCAAATAGAACCCTGAATTCTTGGTAATTTTACCCTTTTCTTAGTAAATACACCGAGGTTTTTTTTTTCAGTGTACCTTCAGACTATCCTGTGTAGAGTTTCTTAGGATCGTCAAAACAAACGAAATAAAACATCGGGGAGTTAATTATATTCCTATGAAAATGAGATCAAGAAGAAAAAACGGTGATATCCAACACCAGAGAAGCATCTTTTCAGACTAACCTCTTTTGCCATTCCCTCTCCGTTGCGGAGCGGGAGCTGAAAAAAAATAAGCAAAACATCAGGAAGTTAATCACATTCCCACATAAGTGGAATCAAGAGAAAAAACGGCGAATTCCAACACCAGGTGTTGATAAGTTGGATCATTGACTCATTTATACAATTTATTAATTTGAATTTGCTGCAAATAAGTGATGTGAAGGAATCAATTATAAAGGAAAATTCTCACTGCACATGGTCTGAAATTTTGGAGTGAAGTGTGAGGCCAGACCCACTCAGCATGATATCTTAAAGCAATGTTGTTATTTGCTGACATATGTTGATGTAATGTTACTAATATGGATGGAATGTTAAATCAGTATTGTCAGGATAAGACTGACAATATCAACATTGATGTAAGCTTGATAGACCGGCAATCAAGGAGATGTCAAGGAGTGTCAACCTGATAACAATGTTGACGGGGGCATATCAATATTATGTAAGATTATTGTAATGTCACTTCAACCTTACTATCAATGTTGTTGCAATGTTCAGGCAAGTCCCTGGCAGTAGCACATCAACATTGATGCAATCTTACCTCATTCTTACTAAAATGGATATAATATGACTGCAATGTTGATGTGAAAGATGTTCAATATTATACTAAGATTGTATTAAGGTTCTATGCTGAGTGGGATGGTATCGTGTTGAGGTACGCATGAAATTCACTCGGATTAATTCATACTGGATGAGGACTATTGAGGAGTGAAGTGCACTCCTTGCCCAGTCGAGATTACTTCAAACTATGTTCACTCGCATCGCTCCAAGACTCTGAACACTCTAGTCCAACATTTTACTTCAAAAGGTTTGATAGTGCACGGTCAGAGTTAGTAGTAACGTTACTAGTCTTAAGTAACTTTTAGTGTCCGATTTAACCAAAGTAAATTGTTGGTTTTTCATGAGAAGGAATTTTTGCATTGAAAAACATTAATATCTTGCTTTAGAGTTCATTTTAGGAATTGCGTTACGCGAATCGAGTTCTACGTGAAATAAAATGTAACATTTAGAAACGTTCCGGGTTTTTTTCTTTATCCTCGGTTTTTTTTTTTTTTTTTTTTTTTTTTTTTTTTTTTTTTTTTTTTTTTTTTTTNTTTTTTTTTTTTTTTTTTTTTTTTTTTTTTTTTTTTTTGGGCAGCCTTTCTTCAATTTAAGATGTCATTTCATAATGTAAATTGGCTCATTAAGTTGTTCTTCATTCTACGTGAAATTTTGGTTATGGGACATATTTCTGACTGCTTAAATTCGTAACCTTGTCCACTAGTCCACTCTAAAATTCGGGGGGGGGGGGGGCGGTTGCCTTTTCCACCTCCTTGTATGGTTTCTATGTTTCTTTTTCCCTCCAATGTCTCTGCCTCAGTACGTACCTTCCTCATTCACACCACGAGAACCACTGAAGTTTCCAGTCTCGGATCCGGGTTCCGGATTGCGTACTTCCATAGTGTACTGCGATTCTGCACCATCTAGATCAGCTATACCGAAATCGGGATCATGGACGAATCCGGACGGAGGTTGTGGATTCTGATCTCTAGGAGTTGAAGTACATCGACGACGGGATCGACGTCCTACACCGTGAAAATAACTTACATATTAATTGAATCCTGTATTTCAGGGAGAGGTTTTTCTGGTCTCGGCAATGGACCACTAGACAAGGTATGAATTTAAGCAATCTGACACATATTTCTAAACCAAAAATCCACGTAGAAAACGATTCACACAACGAAAATTACTGAAACTAGCTCCTAACGAAGATATTAACGTATTTGTTTTACATTGGTTACGAGGAATTTGAACTGCCCGCTCACAAGAAACTCAAAGCTCTACGTGAGTCAAATCGCGCACTACAACGGTTTCAGCAAGCTTATCAATCGAGCAATGTTCATTTCCCATCATGTTTTGTTCAAACTATTAGCAATTTGCTATAGCTGAGCCCAACTGAGCCAAAGCGTCAAGATTGAGGTTGCCAGATTTTTATATCGCAGAGACTGTCATGATAACGTTTAGCGCGCGATGTGAATCACGTAGAGCATTGAGTTTTCATGAGCGGGTGGTTTGAATTCACGCATCAAGAATCATTAAATATCTTCGTAAGGAGTTGATTGCGGTAATTTTGTTGTGCGCATCGTATTCTACGTGAAATTTTAGTTACGAACCATGTATCAGAATGCTGAAGTTCGTGCCTTGTCTAGTGGTCCATTGACATTACCGAGACCAGATAAAAGGAGAGAGGAATTTAAAATTAGGATGAGAGGGGAGGAGAGGCCCCTCGACAATCCGTATGGGGAGGAAGGAGATTTGACCTAACTTTGGTAGAATCTGACTCCGCAGCGCGAAGTTGAGCTTTACTTTGAGTGCGTTTTTATTTTTTTAATTTTTTGCACCCATGATATCGATGTTAAAATTATTCTGAATTTTTTTTTTATAAAAAAGAAGGACATTTGAAATGGAAATGCATCGGTCGGATCCATCATGATTTAAAAATACATACAGACAAGTTTCATAGTTTGAGTTTATCACTTCAGTGGCCCCAGTGGGCTCTCTCAAATCTCAATGCATTGTATATTACAGAAAGGCTTTTTGTTTAAATGCTTACTATCTGAAAGCAAATGAAAATTCCAGAAAATATTTTTGAAGAATATTTTCTTTGGAACAGACAAAGCGCCCACTTCAAAATACCGAAAAAAAAATTTAAAATGAATTTTTTTTGGGACGTGTCCAAATTTTTCCCCCTCTCATTTCTTTTTCATTTTTCTTTCAAAGCATCTGTGTTTGTTTATGACCGCAGAGTTGATTAAAATAACCCTTTCCAGAATAGGGTCCAAGAGTTCTACTAATTGATTTTTAAAAACCTTTAACCGTATATAAGGCGTATTTTTCATAAAAAAAAAATTTAGGAATGCCAGGACGTTTAGCAACCTGGAAAATAAAAAAATCAGGGCATTTTTGGCACTTGAAAAACGTTGTGGATCGTGTAAAAAGTTGGTCAGGTATAGATTTTTTTATGGGTCGTCAAGTATTCTCTTTTGTGTTTGAAGTAATTGGAAACTTCTTGGAGACCGAGGAAAATTTTTGCGGAAATAGCAGAGATTTCATGAAAACTGTTCCTGAAAAATCGCCAATAATACGAGAATTCTTCTCGTTTTGGTTATGGAAATCGCGAAATTATCAGAGAAGGGTCGGGATTATGCTATTACATAAGTGCCTATTGTGATAATTACTTAGTGCTCGCTGACCACCTAAATCTTCATTTTTTGTCACAGTTTGTTCTACAAATATACCGGGCCGATTTCCATTCTCTTGTCGCTGTCGACAGACCGTCTCCTAATAAGCCTTTCTTTCCAGATTTTGGAAATATGACCCAATTTTTTTTTTTTGCATCACGTGATAAAATTGTGATTTCTCCCATTTGAACAAGGTAGATGTTCATTTTTTTCGTTGCAACTCGTCCTACAGGCAGGTTCCTGTGATTTTGGCGTCCATCGATAACAGATAGTCTCCACATGAACGATCTGTTAATATTACTCACAGGGATCCACTTAGCAGCCAGGGGGCACAGCCCCTTGGTATTAGATAATGGAATATAGAACATTTTAATGCCAAAGGCTGGCTAATCTGTATAGAACTTGGTATAATTGATTTAAGAAAATACGGAGCTACAAGCCTAAAATAATTAAGTAATATTTCAAACTACATAATGCATAGATGAGAAATAATATAAAACTTACAAGAAACGAAGCAAACATTTCGCCCGCCTACAAACTGCGATCTTCTTCAGTGCGTAAGGAACAATCATCGGAAACATTTTACAAAATAAAAAAGAAATAAAAAACAAGCGGGAAAGTTCTAATACTGTCGTATTAGAAAAGCGCTCAGGTGTTAGTATATGTATTTAGTGAAGAAAGGAAGTATAAACTCCGTCGACTTGGCTGGGAAATGGAAATAAAACATCAGCTGATAGCAAACAAAGGTTACCAAGGAAACCGTAAACGCGTATTTTTGTTTCCCGAAAATGAGCTCACCGTTGAGCTTATCAGGCGCGTTTTTTTTTAGGCTTCATTTGAGTTCAACGATCAATTTCGATAAAAATTACTCTACCGCTAAGAAATTTTCTTATTGACAAACGATCGAAACTACCTGCGCATTACGTTAAAAGCATAAAATACAGTTTTCACAGCTTTATTTATTTTAAAAATGGACCCCCCCAAAAAGCCTACACATCGATGAGCTGGTGCGCCATTTAAACGCATTAGCACTAGTATACTAGTACTCAGAGGCAAGTCGAAATCAACAAGCGCTGCCTATCGGCTGAGCGCTTAAAATACAAAACTATCGGCAAACTATACGACAATGGGCCTGTTGCAAACTTTTGCTAGAGCAAAACTAAGAGTTGTTTCCTACAGATAATGCCTCAAAAATCACGATGAGCGCATCGGCAAAGTCTGAAATGCACTCATAACTTCACAATCTGCGTAAGAAATTTGCGGTTTTTTGAGCTTCCCGCTTCGAAAACGATACTACGGTACAGGTGAACATTTTGTTAGAGGAGTCGTTCCATTGGCGACAATACTCATCATGGCCGACGCCAGTCCGCCAAAACACGTGTGATGGGACGAGATAACACTTGAACAGGATTAAACCATATAACAATCGGCGTGTTTACGTTCATATTTTCCTCGCCCGCCTTAATTGACCTTGAACTCTCCTCGAATTACGCGAGGAACTGCGCAAGCGTCGGCCATGATGAATATTGCCGACGATGGAGCGACTTCTCTAACAAAATGTTCACCTGTGCAGTAGTATCGTTTTTGAAGCGGGAAGCTCAAAAAACCGCAAATTTCTTACGCAGATTGTGAAGTTATGAGTGCATTTCAGACTTTGCCGATGCGCTCATCGTGATTTTTGAGGCATTATCTATAGGGAACAACTCTTCATTCTGCTCTAGCAAAAGTTTGCAACAGGCCCATACAAAATTGTCGACAACTACATCTTGGAATAAAATCAACACAGAAGAAAATCGCAGTTTTTAGGCGGTCGAAGCGTTTGCTTTGTTTCTTGAAAGTTTTATTATATTTTTCATCTATCTACATGTAGTTTGAGTTAGTTTGAGTAACACTTGCTTATTTTTGGCTTGTAGCTCGATTTTTTTTAAAATCAATTCTCACGAAATTATAGAACCTTGGCTATTATGAAGAAATCAGAGTTTGGCCATAAATACCTTGTGACGCAGCATCTGCCATTCTAGGACGGGTCTTGGATTTTTAACCCTAGCCCTAGAGGACTCCGCGACTGGAGGAACCAAAGAGGACTCCAGGATTGTAGGAACAAAAGAGGGATCCAGGGTTACATGGGGTACAGGGGCTGGTGGGGATAAGCGACGTTTCTTCCTGGGGTCCTCGGTTTGCATCCTGGGGGTTGTAAAACACAACATCTTGGGATTTCCACCCATCGTAGGGACGCTGGGGGTGGTGCTGGTGATGATCTCCTCGCCAAAGGTTGGACGTCCGAGGGCCGGCGCGCAGTCCTCGAAGGACCTGATCACATTGGAGACCTTGGCGGTACAGAGGTAAGTCCCAAAAACTCTCCCGGGAGGCTGGATGAAGCGGCACTCGGCCTCATCCCAACCGTGGCAGACGTTGTATGTTTTTGGCAGAAGTTCGAAGGCACTTTTACAATTATTGTTGGCAATCCGCATATCCGAAAAAAGAGATTGTCCCGATACGCTCCTGCAACTGTCGCTAAGTGATAAAGCACGGTCCAAGTCCCAGTTCCGGCCCCGGTACGATTGCATCTGCAAATGGGTCAGTTGCGCTGGTCACAGAATCGTGATTTTGATGGGTATAGATTCGATCTATATGTATGGTGGCCCAAATTCGGCAATGTCGGATTTTTTTTCGGTCTTACCCCAGAAACTGATCCATTTGATCAAAAAACACTCTCTGCCAAGTTTCAGCCAAATCGCATAATATTAACCCGTGCCGAGAGAGTCATCTTTTTTATATGGGATTTTACATTGAAAAGCACTTTTTTTCGGAAAAATTCATTCCCGGAAAATGTGAAATTTCTAGAAAAAATCTGAGGTCATATTCGGCTTTGGCAGGAAAAATTGAATGGGGAAAGTGGTAATGGACACCTCCAAAAAAATTTTTTACCCATCGTTATGGCGGTGAAACAACTGAAATATCTAAAAAACGCTAAGGGTAAAATGACGGTGATAAATCTCAAATAATTACATAGGTCTGCATCCGAAAACAAAACTCAAAATATCGTATAGGCGTTTCATACGCACTCTTTTACGCTAAGTACGAAAATGCTGCCCATTTTGTTCTATTCTATCAGGAATTTCCGGAAAATCGATTTTCATGTTTAGAAAGAAGGTTTTCCGGAGTAAACTCAATTTTCAGGAAATAAACCTCAACATGTGACGGATGTTTTTTTTTTTTGTTTTTTAACGCTGAGTCCGAGAATGATAACAAAACTGCTCCATTATATCGGGATTTGCCGGAACATCAATTTTCTCGTAAAAACACGGTTTTCCGGGGTAAACTCAATTTTTAGGAAATTAACGATCGACTTGTAACGGGCGCCACGCCCCAGGCGTGTAACTCGCCAGACGGGGACCTCTACGGTAGGTAGCAAAACGGCTGAGTCTACAAAATTCGCCATCAGGACATTTTTAGTGTATTTTCCGAAGGAAAGATACACTATTGCGTTCTCCCTCATGGTGGGACCTAGACCTGGGACCATGTAAAGAGCACCGATCTCGAGTCGTAGATCACGAATATATATGTCATTCATTTTCTGTCATGTATGTATGTATGTATTTCAGCCAGCGTGAGGATTTTTCAGTTTTCAGAGCGTTGAGCGGCAGTTAATTTTTAAGTCTCTTGAAACGAAACTTCTGAAGTTTATAGTCCCCTAAGAGTACTTTTAAACTGTGAAGAAAAAATCGGAATACGTTAATTACTTTTCGCACAGCGAGGAGTCAAAGTGGGGGGAGGTTTAATTTTGTCCACGCGATAACTCAAGTAAAAATGAATATTTTGAGCTGAAATTTTGATGGTAGTTATATATCTACTAAGACTGGTTTCATATTGAATTTCAGCAAAATCGGCCAACGCGTTCCATAATAGTGGCAATTTACCGTTATTACGGGTGAGGGGGAGGGGGTAGGAGTTGCGCAGCCAAGGGGAACTGTTTCTTGAAACATATCTGTGGCAAGAGAGGTAGGGTAAATGATTTCACTCCCCAATGTGACACTACCCTTCGGAAAATACACTCATACATACATAAAGTCGCGATTATAGCGCCGCCTCGCGCTCTGCGACGCCCAATCGCCATTGCCCCCTATCCTCCCAGAGATCATCAGGCAATTGGCACCTTCTGATCTCCTCCTCCACCCCTTGTCGCCAACCTTTCACAGGACGTCCACGCCGTCGCCTTCCGGGAGGAACCCAATCGAAGACCTGCTTGGGCAACCGATCATCTGCCATCCTTCGCACATGTCCATACCAGACCAACTGCTTGGACCTGATATCGTGCACGATGTCCTTTTCCACACCCATTATCTCGCGTACCCTTTCATTGCGGATACGCTCTCTTCTCGATATCCCAGCAGACCTTCGCCAAAAGTCCATCTCGGTTGCCCTAAGCATGTCTTCAGTTCTTTTCTTAAGTTGCCAGACCTCACTCCCGTAAGTTACGATACTCTTCACGATGACGTTGTAAATTTTCCTTTTGGTCTCCTTGGAGATACTCTGGTCCCAGAGAACCCCATTTAGCATCGCGATAGCTTTCCTGCCTTGCACATTCCGATCTTTAATGGCCCGATCCAAATTTCCGTCCTTAGTTAACCAAACTCCTAGATATTTATACTCTTCACAGTCCAGGATCTTCCGGCCATCCTCCAGTTCAATGCTTTGCTGATCACCACCGATAACCAACTTCTCCGTCTTAACCACATTTACTTCCATTCCCCACTTTCGGTATACTTCCACTAGCTTCCGCGTCATGTAATTCGCATCTTCTTCGTCCTGAGCTATTACCACCTGATCATCAGCAAAGCACAGAGTATAAAGGGTGCCATCTTCACGTAGCGGGACGCCCATTCCCGAACAGCATCTTTTCCATTCCTTTAAAACTTCTTCCAGGTACACTTTAAATAAGGTTGGCGACAAACAACACCCTTGTTTCAGTCTTTTAGTAATTAAAAACCCCAACGATAACTCCCCATGCGATTTAACCCTAGAGAAAGCCCCACCATAAAATTCCTTAATAGCACTAATTAGTCCCCCACTAAAACCCCTTTTGTTCAAGGCTTCCCAAAGTTTCATCAATGGCACACTATCGTAAGCTTTCTGGAGATCCACAAACACTAGATGTAATTCCTGACCAACTCCCTTCTTTTTCTCTATGACGTGGATGATGGTAAATAAGTGATCAATCGTTGACCGACCGGCTCTGAAACCTGCTTGCTCTTCCGCTTCATGTTCTTTCCACTCCTCTTCAATTTTTGCTTTTAAGATTTTTCCATACACTTTGCTCAGGGTACCTGCAAAATACACTCATGCCGCGGTAAATGCGCGGACTACAAAAAGAACCGTCCCCTACTTGCCGGCAACCCCACGGAAAAAGCGGCAGGGTTTTTTTTTACGTTAAATCAATGTACCAGGAAACGTATTTATTTTACATTGGTTACGGATTTGAATTGCCCGGTCACAAGAAACGCAATACTCTTCGTTAGTCAAATCGCGCCTTTAAACGGGTTTGCAGGCCACTCAATTTAGCATAGTTCCTTTCCCACCCATTACTCTTCAAAATGTAAACAATTTGCAATAGCTGAGCCAAAGCGTCAA